AGCTCACGCTTCGAATTTATCGTGGTATAATTCGTTAAAATATTTTTATTCTCACGGTTCAATATATCAATTTCTGTTTATCCTGCTCTCTCTTATACACAGAAGTATTTCATTCCCTTTTGGGCTATTCCCTGTAAAACACCTTATACAACTTCATCTATTCATTGCCAAAAATCTCATTTTTCAATATTGACACAGAAACTATTGACAAATTCAATCGTGAAAAACAAACAGATTCCTCCCCTAGCATTGGTTTCGATTTTTCACCGAATTTCCGGAACACTAGCCAAAATGTCAGGCGTCGTTTAAGTCGTTAATAAAACGGTTAAAGCGAGGCTCGTTAATCATCTCATGCAAGGTAAGAACTAATGAGATCGTGGCTCAGGTTACATCGCTCGTAACGTTACCATTTTCCAAAAGAAAAAGGAAATCCTATATCGAGATCAATAACAAAGGTATAGGTCTCGCGTGTGTGACGTCGATTCAGTTTGATGCACACGTAGATGCAGATGTGCTGAATACATCGAACCAAAGTCAGTTCGACCAGCACCGTAATCTCTTTAATGACGTCAACCTAACCTCGTGCAATGCCAATTGCTTCGAGTGCTGCACCTCGACGTGACAGTGACTCCTCTTGATATAGTCGTTCATATCGGTAGGGTTTGGATGGATAATGGCATCCATTTGCGGCCCATGCACATCGAACATGCATTGCTTTCCGAACTCGGTGCGCATTTTCACGTATACCCGTTTGATCTCCATTCCTACAGGATGATCAAATCTGCGTAAATTAAAATTTTACGATACGATTTGACAGCATTTGCCTTTAAAATTATTTCAGTTTCAATTACATATATAAGATACTGTGAGAAAAGTTTTTTATATGCATATAATATATATATACATATATATATATATATATGCATATATTAATACAGATGATGATGATGATGATGATGATGACGATGATGAACGGGGATAATTTAGTGTACATAAATGTAAATGCAGAATCTTTACGTTTCTTCGAAGCGGTAAAAAATGTCGGCGTAATTGGCTCAGAAATTATATGTTCCAGATTATTTAATTGTTTCAAAATAACTTAAATAATGAGTTTTCAAACATTTCATTAAAGCGATTCTCAAGCTTGTATTAACTTAACAAAAAAAGGCAGCGCTCCGTGACGTGTCTAACCTGATTTAACGGAAGAAACGCAGCCTTTGGAAAAATCATACGTCGAGAAGAGCTCCGTAACCTTTTTCTCTGTTGGCGAAAGAGCGCGTCAGAGTGGCAAAAAGCGACGCGATAATTCGCGGGTCTGTAACGGCGCTCGCTACGCCAACTGGGTTCACCGTCGAAAGAGAAGAGCGGCAGCAAGTGCTGAAAGATTCATGAATTCACCAAGCGAATAAAGTTCCAGGCGGAACGATATTTGCCTTGTTTCGACAAACACCCGAGAATTCGACTGAGAACATTCACGCGTGCAAACGCCCTCGAACGGCGTTCTCTCCTTTTCTCGCGCCAAGGATCCTCTTTACGTGTGAATCGAGCATAAACAGAACTTAGCGAGGACTCGGGGACGAGGCAACAGTCCGATCAAACTTATCTCACGGGGATCAAACGCGTGGCTTTGACGCCGCTTTATGCTCGAATATATCGCCACAATCTTGTGGACCTTCGAGTTGATCGTTTAACCGTTCATGTACCATCTCGACTCTGATCTGAAGTGCGCTCAGACAATTTATCGGGTAAACTTCGTTCCGAGGCTAAATATCTCGAGGTGGATAACTGTAAAACCGTGCAATTACAATTTAAAAATTATCTAATTTTGAAGAATTTTACAAACGCTTCTCTTTCAGGAATTAATGCTGGATCGTAATGATTCTCCTTTTTGTCGATTTGGAATGGCAAAGACAATTGGCGAATTTCAATACAGCATGGTAATTAAGACGTTTTTTACCTTAATTATCCTTCGACGTACCGATGAAAACGTTGAAGTAGGGGCCGTCAATTTTATATGTTATAATTCTCAAATTAAATCACACTACTTAAATTTGATTCAAGTTGCGAACCACAGATTTATTAAATACAAATTAAAGTTTCAGATCATATACACATTCAGATAGAATAACGGTTCCATCTATCGAAAAAAACGAAACGTTGCATTGCAGCGATGAAAACGAAAGCTCGATACGATTCGTGAACCCTGTTTGTTTTTGTCAATAATTTTTCCGGCCGAGTCATAAAACCATTGATTCTTCTACTCAGCAATCTGTAAAACTGACCCGATTGACGAGAAAAGGGAGGACGGCCGACAGAAGATTGCAATCAAGGCTCCTCGATTCTTTGCTAATACTTACTTCATCAAGAACCGCTGATGCAATCATTCTGTCTTAACGAATCGATCGTTTCAGATTATTGAGCTTCGTTGCTTGCGCGTGTTCCTTGCATTCGCATCACGCTTTCCACGATAAAAGATCTTCCTCTCAAACTTAATGCTAGAATATGTCGCCGAAGGAAGAAACTGTCGAAAATTGTATTTTACTCGTTAACTTTCTAGTTTCTCGTTTCGGATAAACAATTTTATCCATGAAATTAATAATATTCTTAATTATGGCTTTTTATTGCCATTTTTTTACCATCCTGTCGATCTTTTTAAAATCTGTCACTATTAAAGATTAAATACTAATTAAGGGAATGGACAGTTTAAAGGCAATGTGGTTTTGTAAATAATACTTCGTTAAGTATCGATAATTTCAAAAACGACGTAATATAAAATTACGCAAGAGCTTGGCCTATTTATCGGTCGCTGGCTGCCTATAATCAGGGAAATTACCGTACAATTCACTATCCTCGATTAATGTATAATAATTTCTGGAAAACGAGCTGAACGCGCGTTTGATCAAAATTTCGCGGTGATACGCGGAAAGTAATTTCTATCTATCGATCTCCGCTTAATCGTAAATCAAATTTGCGGGCGGCTCGTCTGTGCAAATCACGTAAGAGTTTCCCTTGGACCAGGCTTTATCCTCGTCAATATAGCGAAAATTGCCGGGTTCCTGCATGAAAGCAGACCGTCACAAAAGGCTCCCTCTAATTGCCTTCGGCCGAACATCGAGCAACTTTGATGCTCCATAGGCACACGTCCAATTTATTTCGGAAACAGAGAATTCGCAAAAACTAGTACACATCATTCTAATTTATTTTCTTAATGAAAGTAATACATGGCTAGATGAAGACAGCAAAAAGCTAAGATTCTAAGAGTTGAAATTATTCGTGAAACTTTGCACATGAACTTTCTTCACCAACGTCTGAATTTGTATTAAAATCCTACGTAATGTATAAAAGGCTCTACAGTTTAGAGGACGTATAAAAAGTTATTTTTCAGGTTTTTACATTTTTTCTTCGAGTTCAATGACTGTTTCTTTGTCTTAAATCCTACTTAAGAATCAATTAGTATAGTTATATTTTCATTTTGGACCAACCATTTTGATTGTTCCTGTGCACTGTCGCTATTAATTAAAACGCCGATTAGCGTTCCGGCTGGTTCATGATAAAATCGAATAATTATGAGAATACTGCCAAGTAGAAACGCTATTGCAGCAGAACATCAGGAATCCGATGTACTGTAAAGCCGGTATGACGAGTACCAATGGTAAATGAGTTCCGTAGGAACGCAGATCCACACCGCTCGAACAGATCGACACGGAACATTATCCTAGCATATGTACGTGCTAGTTTGGAGTTTGACAAGCGACGATTCTGAAATTTCCCTCTGGAAAATCCGATGGCTCGCCATGCTCATAACATCGAAGCTAAATCCGAATTATGCACAGCCATACAAAATATCAAAATATCTTTTTGTTTTACAACACCACTTGCACATTTTCCCTCACTTGCAATTGTTATTTATCAACATATGTCATTTACTTCATTTTATTTGCTCGCATGCGCGTTGTAGGTGATTCTCGCTGTCACAAAACGAATCTCTGCTACCGTTGTTACAAGTTCTCTGCCGTGACTGTTACCGCGAATATTTCGTGTTGACCCGAGGAATTCTTAACATTGTTTGGCCTCTGCGTTCTAACGTTTGTCCTTTTTCGATCGACTTCTTTCTCTCCTTCTCATTCTCTCTGTCGCCGGCGCTTCACGATCCCTGCACGCGAAAGCCTGATAAACCGTTGCTCTCATCAGCTAATGCACACGTACGTATGTACATCCGGTTTGTCGATTTCCTCTGGTCGTCAATCAAGCGTACCGTGAAGCGAGAAAAAGGATTTTGATTGTTTCGGCCGGATCTTTTTTTCTCGACTCGGCTGGATAAGCCAGCGAAATCGGAATCCGAACGGAGAGATCGGAATCCGTATCCGAGTTTTGGTTTTCCCCAGAATTCCCATCGTGCTTGTTTACACAGCGCGGTACCGCCGTGACCATCGAAGCAGCTTTATGGCTGCAACATTCCGTCGATTGGAAGTATTGTATCAGCCTAGTAATTCCCGTGTTCACTAGTTCAAAGGTTAATTCAGATCGAATCACAGGCTTTGAACTAACTTTTTAGATTAATGTGCGCGTTCAGGAGGATGCTGCTATTAAACATTGACTATTCGCGGATACGCTACAGTCGGAATTAAAATTTCAGAAAGTGAAATTGCCGAAAGATAGTTGTTAAGAAATTACACTTGCTGAAAAAAAGATAGATTCGATCGTTGTAACAACAAAAGGACATCTTTTTACTTATCAATGTTTATTAGTTATTCTTCGTTTCTTTCAAATGTAAAATATCTCAGTTTAAAAAATACGTTTTCACAAACATACGAAAAATTAATTACATTCCTTTTTCTTACTTTTTACTGTTCTAAATAATTCATAATTAAATGTCATAAAATTTCGTAAAATAAATTCCTTATATTATATTATCAAAAAGCGCGCTATTATTAAAGCGCTAGTAAAGTATTAGTAAAGCGCAAGCGATAAAAACGAAATAAATTTCGGTTCCAATGATCGATACGTACATATATTGATTATAAAAAACAATTCGATCTTTCGATCGCCGAATAAAAGTTCCAAATTCGTAACCGATTTATCAAAAAAAAAACACGGAAGTCTCTTGTATTCGTTTTTCAAGTACGCAGTCCTCGAGTCTCTGAGGAGAAAAAATTATTAATCGATAATAAATACGAAGCGTCCCAATTCTCTGTGACAGACGATTCGAGAATATCCAGACTACCAGGCACTTAGGCTTTCAACCGGAAGCCGCAAATTACGTGGCCACTTTATATCGATGCGTTACCGTCAACCTGGACATGCATAATTAATCAGAAGATTATCACTTCGATGACTGGTCGAAATACGCGCGACTCTCTTCCAAAATCTCCTCTCGACCATCACTCTTTCCGTGCATTCTCCCTCTAATTTAATCTTCCTCTATCTAACCGAAATCAAATTTGCTCTTCATAGCTTTTTCTCGCGTGATGCGTCTGCTTTCGAATATTTCTCGTGAAACCCGATTCTTTCGATTCGATCGTGCCTTCGAATAAAAAAGATACTTTTCCATGATACGATATTTAAACAGCAACATGTAGCGCTTACGGAAGTAACAAATTTGCAAGGAAACAAGTTTCTCGCGGAACAAAGTATACTTCCTAGAAAACGTTATACTTTTTCTCAAAGAAATAGATGCAAGAAGTTGGAGACTGTACCTGATTTCCATAGTACCGCCGTCTAACCGAGTTTTTATTCGTTCGATCTGTCGGTTATTAATAAATCCTTATATCCCGTGCATTCTTGAGAAATTCCAAGTTCTAAGAGGACAACGAGCGAACGAACGAACAAGGAGAATCGCCTTTGTAAAGAGACGAGAATTCTGAAAACTTTCTTCGAACTGTACATCATAAGTCCGTCAATTCATCCGTTGAAATTCCAGATGGATTATCTTCCGTGTTTTCCAGCCCGTCGTGTTCGCTTAACTTTGTAAGAACATTCTCTTAAACTCAGGCAATAAATGGAAAACTGACTGTGTGGCCCTTGAAGATCCTGAGTGACGAGAAAAACGACAAACTCTATCGAACTTTCATTTTGCCTTATCCCTTTTTCTCGCTGCTCGCTCGTTCCTGTAACTTCTGCGTGAAACGTGTGCGCGAAGCCACCTGTTTCTAAGCAGAATTTGATGCAGTTACCGAAAAGAATAACCAATGAATCTCGACGGGAACAGGTCTACGCGAGCGTAAAAAAAGTTTCTGTTGGAAACGTTGAACGCATCGTTTGCTCTATGGTTTCGTTCAACGAATGCGTAATAACATCGAAACAACTTCCGTTGAAAGAAAGAAGGAAAGTTCTTCGATCGAGCCAGCTTGGATTTCTTTCATGATAAAACTTTTCGACGAGATTGTTTGTCCTTCCTGTCTGCTTTCCGAACCTGCTGGGAATATCTCGAACACGAGCGACAAATGCTTCGGGCTGATCCTTTTCCACAAAGATGTCACTTTGAATTCTAACGACACAATACCGTTTGTCGATGTACAGATGAATTAAACAGTTAGCTCCTGGATTTCCGGGCAAAGCTCTTCGGAGGAGAAATCTTTTTCCGGTTCTTCTTGGTTTTCAAGATGCTTCCATGACGTGAAAGGAAATTTTTAAACGATTAATATTTTCTGTTCCCAGACTCCTCGTCAAGCGTCTCTTCGGAATACATTCTCACGAACGCAGTGGATATTCGAGGATAAAACACCTTCCTGCTGTGCTGTTCGTCGTACTCCTGAACTTTTTGTTTCAGCAAGTTCCACAGTTCCATCTGTTTCTCCTTTTTTTCTATTTCGATCTCCTCTTCCGTCAATTTCAACTTTTTGAATTTACGCAAGCTCTTTTTTGGATGAATTTTCGTGTCATTTTTTTTTCCGAATTCCACGACCGACTCGTCCGTTTTGATCAAATGTTCCTCAGCTTCCTCCTGTCGCTCTTCCGTCGTTTCCAGCTTGATTTCGGGCAGTTTCTTGGGCTCCTTCTCGAGTTTCCTCTCGACGGCCCAAGAGGCGAGCTTTCTTGCGATTGCAGTTTCCTGCCAAGCACGTATTTCCTTCTTGGCTTCAACCAGTTCTTTTCGAAGTACGTTCGGCGGAGTATTCTTCAGCGCCAAGATTTTTCTCTTGAACGCGCGCGAAGGTTGAGGAATTTGAACGATATAATCAGTTAATCGTCTGAACCACTTATTATCTATGATGAACGATCTGCTTTTTTCGGGAGATTCTTCTACCACTTCGACCGTATTCTTCCTTCTTTTTGATCTTCTTTTCTCTGCAATGACAAATTCATTCTTTCAATAATTAATCATTAACTAGAAAGATTAGCACGCAATGTGTAACCCGCAACAAGTAATGCTCCAAATACTCGCATAAACCTAATTTCTCGATTATCTTAAACGAATCTAAATTACAAATTCCCGTTGAGATCGGTATCTTTGTGCCGCTTTGTATTTTGTACCTACTGTACATTGATGTATATTGACGTACTGTACGTTGACGCTAATTAATATTCCTTCGACCCAGAACAAACTATTCCGCGCACGCGATCCTTCATCCGGACTGTAATTAATACTACCAATTTATAGTCGCATAGCTTAGTGTCGCATAGACCCAATCGTTCTGCGTAATTCTGAAGACCACGCAATATTATTTCATTTTCATAGCTTCAAATTGATTCCTGATTGACGTAACAGAAATAAGAAAATCCGTTGTCCTATACAGTATTTTTCAGGCCGTGAGATCATTGTAATATGAAATATCTCAATTTACATACATAGCAGAAACGAAAAGAAGAATCGACGTATCAAACACTGGATCAAACGCTTAAGATTTTATGTGGCAAAAAGGAGAGGAAAAATGCCAAAATTGCTTTCACGGTCGTCGTATATAGTCAATATGGAAATAAATCCCGCACGTGCGAGAACCAACGCTGCCATTAATTGGAACACCAGCGGTTGTGAATATTTCTCTACGCTTAGTGCATTCGCCATCACGCGATAAGACAATATTTCCCTCTATGTGCTAAGCCCCTCGCGCTTGCGAAACAAGATTTATCGACGTCGCGCTATTTTTCTATCATCGACAAAAATGCAGAGAAAAAAGACATAGACGATGCATAGTGTACTTCTGCTAAACCGCGGTAAATCTCGTGAATTTAAAGATTTCAACGAATGTGGGAAACGTACCAATCGAAACGATTAAGGAATTGAGCCTTCGAACAAGGCTACATGGAATTAATCGAATGTCACGTATAAAAAATTTATATTTAATACGATTCGTACTCTGTAAAATTCACTCTAAAAGTTTTATTGGTATTATCGGTCAAATCATGCGAGAGAGCCTTTGCAAGTAAAAATCTCGCGCCGATATCAATGAATCAGTCGGTTTTGACAAAACTAAAACACGTTCAAACACCTGTAACGTTTTTAGAAGCTTACAATTTACACCCAGAAGCCTCAAATAGCCTGAGTAGTTCATTTTTCTTCGACCATTCGCGTAGTTACTTCCAATCGAAGTACCACACACAACGGAACCACCGAGTTTAACTCTATGAGCCACAGCAACGGCAGCAACGGCAGCAACGGCAGCAACGGCGTAGTACCGCCTGGGAGACCAACGAGTCTCCACCCCGTTACTTTTATTAACTTCCAGATCGTTTAAGTGGCTTCCGACGCGTTATTCCGAGTTAATTGTAACTAACGGAGAAACTCGACGAGAAGAGGAGACTTGGGAGTGGCGAAATACCGGAAACGCGGGACGGAATTAATTCGCTAGGAGTGTACCGTAATACGGCCGCGACAGAGCGTACACCTTGTTTGCAGTTCCCCTCGTACCGCGATTGTAGAATTTACAAGTGACTTACAGTCGTAGCGACAACTCAAGAAACTTTTGTAAAATTTCGCTACTACGCCGAAAGCCGAGCTATGAAATGAAATTCTCTAGAAATTATTGAGCAGGTAGCTTCCAGGCAATTGTAGGATTTCTCCGTGGCTCTTCAGTGACCCCTTCGTGCGCGCCAGTTACGCTTCCTGACTCATTGCGAAACAGCTACCGAAAGATTATTCCCAGAAATTAAAATTAATCGAAGAAACAGTTGACTACTATTGCCAAGTACGTGTCCTTTTTTAGTTAATTTTCCTTTAAAGCGACGACAGATGCTTTTATCGTGAATTAGTCCATGCTCGAACCTAACTTCCAATTAACCTAACGCGCAAATACATCGACCAAGAATAACTAAACATGACCATTCTCCAAGACAAAGAACAATTTGGATCTTGTTATTGACATTCGGAATTTATACTCCAGAGCTCTTCTCCGACTTGGTAAAACATTTCCTCCCCTTGATATATTCCGATTTTACAAATTACACGACAAGTTAACCCCTGTTTATCGCGATCCAGGTCATTTCCAGATACGTGTTGAATAATGTTGCGATACAGGAAAAGCAGAAAAAAAGGAACGAACGTATGATTTTAGAGAAATCGCATTTCGTGTAAGCAATTTTTCATACCTGTGATTAGAACGGTCTTACCTTCCATATCTGCGCAACAAATTTCCGGCTTGCACACTTGCTTCGCACAACTATTTCTCAGGATCTTCTTCACTCGTTGCTTTTTGTCCTTTATCCTTATCGAATCTAGATCGACGTCCACAATATCTTTTTCTTCTTCCTTTTCTCCGATCTTCGGTATGCTTCTTGCAGTCCTTATTCTACTTTTGAACCTTTTGATCGATCGTTGTTTCTTCACATCTTCTTTCTCGGATTCTACCTCCATTTCCATGTATTTCGTTACTATTCTTTCCTTTAATATTTCCTGCGCTGCTTGCACGTCAGCTTCATCGAGTTCCATGTATCGCGCAGATATCTTTTTTAAAAAAACAGATCAACTTACTTTTGTCGATACTTGATAAATTTTTGATCGTTTGCTCATCGTGTAATTTGAAAATGTTGGTGATAAAAGAAAAATACATAGAATCTAGAATATACAACGCGGCATGCTAATTTACCTGTTTTATTTTGTCGAAATATTCCATCTGCACTTTGTTGTGTTCAGGATAGGTCATCTTAACGTTAGACTTTCCTTTCGGTTTCGAGGCTTTCGATTTCTTCCGGTCTTCCAGTCTCTCTTTCTCCATGGAGGTCTTTTCTTTCTTTCTATCCTTCTCCTTCTTCTTGCTTTTCATCTTTGACTCTTGTATACTGATACCTTTGGAGACACGATGACCCAGACGTATTTCTTTCAAACGACTGTCAATCGCCTTTTCGTATCGACTACACCTTTCCAGATACTACAACAAGGACAAAACCACGTTACCGATATTTTCGAATTCGTCTACTCGACGAGATGGCCGCCCTTGGAATTTCCGCCTTTCCTCGCTAAACTCATTGTAAAATTTTGGGGAGCAAGAGCGAACTAAACTAAAATTTCATGAAGTGTGAGACAATGAGATTCGGTAAGAAGAATACCGTTTAATTAGAACATCTGGTAATTAATGAAATTCAGCTCACTGATTTCAATGACCATTATCAAAAGGTGAAACAAGGTAACGAGAAGAAAGCGTAACAGAGTCTTTAAGTAAACTGACAGTATAACTAGAATCTTACGCTACTCAAAGCGGCTTTGTCTTCTTTCGTGAACGTTGCAAGGTCTTCCGTACACTCCAGTAGGTATACATTACCGTTACTACTTCCGACAGCAAGAAATGCATCCTCTTCGTGGGAGCTAATCGCTGTCAGGCTATCGTTACACACGTGAATGTTAGTCAATGGTGTCTTGATGCCTGCCAATATATCATACGCTTCCAGTAAGCCTTCTTTATTTATGGTGAAGAATACGGAGCATCTGGCTTTACTCCAGCAACCACCGCTTAGATCGATGTATTTGTCACTATACACGTAAAAATACAAAAAATTTCTATCTCGAAGAAACGTACAAAATATCAATTGGTACAACATTACTGTCTACGGTCGTACCTAGTACAGAGCAAATTTCCTTCCTTCGTGTCGTCTGCCCATATATTGGCCGACCAGTTACCAATGGTTAAGAAATTCTTTGTATAAATCGGATTTCGGTCGATCGCGATAACCGGTCCCGTGTAACATTGGAATCTAATCGCCAATTTTTCCACGAGATTGCTGGTTCTCCTATTTACATTCACAACCATACCGTTCTCGGTACCAGCTAGGAATTTACTGCTCATCGTCTGTTCAAACTGAAGAGCAGTGATACCGACCGCTTTGTAAATGTCTGCTCTTTGTGGCTGTTCGAGGTCCATCACTAAAGTTTCTGTTGGCTTTTTCATAAATCTGGCATCCCACCACAAAATTGTGCCATCGGTAGAACAAGAGAAAAAGTCGGTGTTAACCTTGGAAGGGATCCAAAGAGTCTGAATCACTGGATATCTAAGAATGAACGACAGACGAGAAGAAAGAATCGTAATTTTACTTTGGAGAAATACAGAAATTCGATGACGCTGCACCGTCACGTTGTAGGAAGAAGAAAACTGCGGTTAGTCTGGTTCCCGATTTTGTGGAATATCGACGATATTTTGTATAATTTTTTAAAGACTTTATTTCGATTTCATTCCATTTTATGAAAATTCTATATAGGAAGCTTTAATTGGAAAAGTGACATAAATGCATTTTTTCCGAAAAATAAAACTACGAGATAGCGATGATACGCGAAATCCATATTTATCCTGTATACAAGATGTTTGACATATATACATGTGTACGTTATTAATTCTCAATCAAACTATTATACCTGTGACTGGTGTAAGGATGAGACGTTTCCATAGGTTTTTCATTGCTTCGAATATCCCAGTAACACACTTGGCCAGATATTAGACCACTGATTAACATCACAGGATCGCGAGGATTGAATTTAATTGTCGTTAGATGGAAAGGTGGTTTCAACGTGTAGAGAGCTTTATTGGGATTCTCTGCATAAGACGAAGATTATACGTTTTTATAGAAACTGAATCGTAATGTATTGTACGACAAACAATTTAAAAGGTTCAATGTCTGTACGTGTGTTGTACATATTAACCGAATTAATCACTTATATATGGATTATTTACCAAATGTCCAGCTGGACATATTGTAAAGTACAAATTAAGAAATAAAAAGAAAAAATATATGGATAAAACGCACACGTACTACAACTAATAAAATACAATTTTTCTGATGGCATCTTCAAATACCCTATTAACACTCGGCTACTTAATGGTACGAAAATATTTCATGAACGAGAAGAGATAGCAAAATGTTTACAATAAAATTGCGAGACGTCCAAATTCAACGAAATGATCTAAAACTTGGTTGTATGTACGAACGGACATACACAAAATCGAATCGATGAAATATCACCTCTCATCGAAGTGCTCTGGCAAATAACGTCGACTGAACACGGTTTGTCACCGAATTACATAAGGAATAACCAAGTACCGAGGTTCCATACGTAGGAGTACGGACTCAAGTCGGCCGAAGGCTGCTCAGATTCCGGAAACCCGTACGCAACGGCCAATCGATCAGAGTAGTTCGGAGACCACGATATATCTTTGATTGGTCTCACCTTCGTCTCCGGATCCTCGTACAAGTTCACTACTCTGAATTTGAAAAGGAGGAAAAATACGAGATTTCGTTAATTTACTAATTATTGTATTAATTAACGATTAGAGTACTATTATATTATGACGTTCATTCGTAAAAGAAAAATCCATCCATATTTTCACATATTACACTTACGGTACGTTATGTGTGTATGATATGTGCGTATTACATAGAGATTTCAAATATTTAATAAAAAGAAGGAAAAACGAACGAAATGATATCACGGATTTTTGGGACACAGCGAGCATATATCACCACACCGATGTTATCACGACAAAGCACAGTTCGATCGTTAATTTTATGAGCCTGCGGATTTTCATTGCCAAATCGATAGCGATAGCCCGCTGCACTTTTTGCTTGCAAATTTGTGTCGGGGTTTTGAACGGATAATCGTATGGTTAATGAATTTGATGGAATTACGCGTTAAATCAACGATCGCTTTGTTGACTTACTTAACTCGTTGTTAGAATTTAATGCGTTCAAACCAGTTCACGGGAGACATATCTCACGTCTTTAATTTCGAATATGTTAATATGATTTTTAATAGGTACGTAAATATATCGAAGCAAAATATTTCGTAACATTTATTGTGAAATGTACCTGATATTGTTGTCCTTGATCATAGGTGTCACGATCAAATCGTCGAAGAAATTCTGATAGATATTGATGGCATTGTTTTGAAGTACATAGTCCTCCATTGTCTAAATACCCATAAAGTGACATTATTTTAACGTACGTGTGGTATCATGGACAGATTGCCTAAGAAATATCGGGTGAACCATAAACAATGTTGCGAGAAAGCCTAAGTGCCGACAGGCCAAAAGGGTCTGGAAACTTCAATGAGCCCAAAAGGGTCTGGAAACTTCATCTGGAAACTTCAATGAGCCGAGCGGCCCATCAATGTGTCCTCAGTCCTTCAGTCGAATACGGAAAAAGGCCTACGTGGCTATAACCGCGGACGGTTACGGAACACGTACGTGGTGGGACTATGAGAAAAGATAAAGAGATACTTAAGGAAGAAAGATGAATGAACAGGGAGTCGTTAACTAAGAGTCGGATTGTGAGGAGTCGTTAACTGAGAGTCGAGTTGTGAGTGCAGTCGTTAACTAAGAGTCGAGTTGTGAGGAGTCGAGAGTTGAGTTGCCGAGTTGTCATAAGTTGTAAACTATTAATTGTGAGTTGTGAATTATCCATTTAGATGTCCTTAGTTATAACACATTACTATATTTAGTTCACGTTAAATAACCATCGTTTCCTGTTTAATTTAAGGTAATTAGGGCGTGATAGTGATTGAAGGAACACTCGAATTTGTTTAACAATAAATGTTTATTAACGATAATATCTAATGAGTACACTTGACGTAAACTCGCGGTTGTTAAATTCAGTTCGCGGTTCGCGGATACAAGTTGAAGCTCGGACAGATACGATTCGACATCCGCTTTGAGTTCGGACGATGATTGCCGGAGAGGTCGAGTAACTCGGATTCACTCTAGCTACCAACTATCAACTATCAATTCGGACAGGCGACTCGCGACTCTTTTGCCTCACGATGATACTGCATAGGAAAACTATGATGGGATGTGTCTCAGGATACGAGATCATCGGATTCGTTGAGGAAGGCGTTGGTTCGGAAAGTGAGGGAAATGGACGTCGCTGTTAATTGGCTAAATTTTGAGTTGTTGGTTGGGAAAGGATGCTAACCACCCTTGAGAGAAAGTCGCTAGCAGGAAGCGTCGCACGTGAGGAAAGCAGACTTCCAGCATCTTCTCGTAGAGGGTGATAGGTATAGGGACTGTTGAGACAAAGACTATTTATTCCTTTGGAGGACCTTAGCTAAATAAATCCTAAGATTTACAGCGAGTCCTTAGGTTGGCTGAAAATGTTCTGAAGGAATGTATCGACATCTGGCAATCATCTTGTCCGGAGGATAGGGTCTTTGTGTAGCGAGCCATGGGACAGAAACCGTTGGAGCGTTTGCTGTCGAGTGCCGCTACAAATTCATTGTAAATAGATCTATTTATCAATAATCTTATCATATAGGTTAGAAATCATTGGAAACCCTAATTTCTAATATTTCTGAATAAATAAATCCTATATATGCAAATATTTTATATAATTCCCTCGAAACTTACAGAAAGCAAGCTTCTCATGTTTATTGCCCAATTATCATCCTTCTCCACTCGTCGACGAAACCTTTGAACGACTTCGGCATCTCGAGCATTGACTTCCTTTGGCCAGCCACCTTCCGTATGATATACTCCCGTATTTATCTCTATCCTTCTCATCGTTTGTACCTGAAACGAAGCACGAGATACACTGTGTTAGCATGTAAAGAAAAATGTATAAAGGAACGATGATCGATTTCAGATGCATTGATTTCAAACGAGTTACCCTATACTACTAGCTACGACTGACGTTCCGTTAGGATCTAACCTAAAATATGAGAGCACTATGATTAAAGTAGTTTTGTTTGATTACTCTGATTGACTCTTACTTCGTGGGCCGCATACTGTTTAGACAGTTGCACTTGGCGATGAGTGTACGGACGGTACACGTAATCTTGCATCAGTCTTGGCTCCGGCTGGATGTTTTCTTCGGCAACATGGTCGGTTCTGAAGACGCATTGCTTTCCGAACTGACATCGCGGCTTGATATACGTGTATTGCGTCAGCATCTTCGCCGCTGTCTTTCATTAGGTCTTGTAAAAGCATTTATAAGTTATGAAATAAAAAGAGTGCCAAAACTAAATTATAGAAAATTCTTGGTACACAAACTCTAAAAAGGACGATATTCTAAGTCGAACAGAAGATCGGAAAACAAAACAACTTCGTGATTTAACGCGTAGTTCAGTATCGTGCGTGCCATATATCGACGATTGCGTAGAATCGTCTATTACGCATAAAATATATACTATCGTTTCATTAAATAAATATTCGATTACGATCGATATTTAAAAACCTACCACTTCGCTACTTTAATTTACTTTAATCCTACAGCCGTTGTAAGAGAAACCCTGTTACCCTCGATACACTCGTGAATATTTCAGCACCAACCACAATTTCTCCGCCAATTTCCATTCTCTAGGAGATTCGAGCCCGTTGAGAAACCGTCTAGAACCACCATTGGCTGCTATTGGCCCTTTTAAAGCCACGAAAAGAAAAGGAGAACTTGCTGACGCTTTTATCCTACTTTCGGAGGCATCGTCGATTTCTTTTAGCCGCTAATTTCTTCTATTCAGTTTCCTTTCGCACATCAAAGATTCAATGTTCGACTGTTGCATTTCCGAATCCCACTTTATACAATTACTACCAGCAGCGGTGAGAGTTCTCGGCCCCACCGCTGCATTATCTCTTCGTGACCTTCTACAATTTCTGCCAGCCACACGCTACCCATCCGCTGGCGATTCGCTGGCGAAATCCGGCAATCAATGCTTTCACACGGTTCCGTAAATCGCATAAGCCATGCAGAGAGTCCTCTTCCTAGCAAATCATATTTGATGCAGTCCCGTCGAAATCACGATCGATCGGCTCGTGGATGTGGT